TTTCAATAATTATTTACACTTGTGTGACAGAGATGATACAAAGTAGAGCCAGTTTATTTGTGTGATTCCTTCTTTTATTCCAACCATGACATTCATAATGCATTTCTGGCACTAAAATGATGATTACAGTAGTCATCTTAAAACCAGGGTTACATGTATAGCCAAAAAATAGAAAGTTTCTATCTAAAAACTTTATCAAAATGAAAAATAGCAGTTGCTATTGACTGTAGCTATTTTTTGTTGATTATTTATGCTTATTTTGTAATTTTCAATGAAAATTGGACAGATTTGTAAAGATTTAGCCTGTTACATGTCTGTCTTCAATGTGGATTGCCAGTTTAAAATGAAATATGTCCAAGCACAACAGAGATTCAGTTCTGGAATAGCAGGCCATCTTGTAATGGACCATGAAACAAATGCATTTGTTTATGTATAATTTTACATGTGATGTACATGTCAAGTTTGTGTGTGATCCATCAAAAGCTTGTCAAAGATATGACCCTGAAACTGCATTTGTTAAAAAAAAAATGGCCACCAGTCAGCCATTTTCTATCTGATCTTGAAAAAATATGATGTGCATCAAGGACCCATTATGTTCAGTGAACGTACCAAGTTTTAATATGTTGATGTATGACTGAGATATAGTTCCGGAATGACAGAAATGCTTGATTTTGATGAATTGTTTGCACTTAAATAGCCACCATTTGGCCATCTTGAATTGGACCATGAAACAAACGCATGTGTATATGTACGATATGATGTGTGTATGAAATTGGCCCAGGCATGCCTAAGATACACTTGTGGATGCAACTACAAGGAACCGCTTATGAAGCATACAACATCAATAACAAGTCATTGTCAATGACACGTCCCCATTCCGTTCATATTTGAGTGACATATACATTCAAAGCAGATCATGACCGAAATCTCAGACCACTTTCAGTGGTCTGATTCGAAATGCACCTGCATATGTACAATCAAATCCAGACATGTCTCGGATACGGATCCAGAACTGAATTCTTTAAAACAAAATGGCCGCCAGTCGGCCATTTCGAACTTGATCCGAAAAAAAAAAATGACGTGCATCAAGGTCCTATTATGTTTAATGTATGTACCAAATTTGAACAAAATCTGTCCATGCATAACTGAGATCCGGGTCCGGAATGGTGAAAATGTGCGATTTTGATGCATTTTCGGCCTTAAAATGGCTGCTATTCGGCTATCGTTAATCGGATCATGAAAAAAATGCATGTGCATATGTCCCATATAATGTGTGATGTATGAGTGAAGTTTGAACTTAATCGGCCCATGCATGTTCGAGATACAGGTGATCACGGACGCACACAGGGCAAACCACAAGTCCCTGTTTTCGGACTACGTCCGAACGGGGACTAACAACTGACATTCCCTCAATCTACAAAAAACAAGATAAAAATAGGAATGACAAAATTAGCAACTGTTCCATAAGACAGAGGATATCAAAGCAACAGTGAGAGAGATCAATCGAAACCACAAACAGTTCATGATGTGGACGACAATGACAATTGACATTCCCCCAATCTACAAAAAGGCAAGGTAAAACTGACAACGATAATATTGGCAACCTTCCAAGCAGATAGAAGACATCCAAGCATTGAGTCAATGGGAAGACAGACACCATGAAAACCTTGCCAGTTTCGCTTGATTGCTCAACTGGTTATTTTCTTCCGGATTATTTACAGACAAATTTTCACAGGTGAGTTGATCATGGTGAAATCAGGAAACTCACAGTTCCTGGGAGTTGTTCTTTTAAGAGAAGTAATTAAAAAAGTATTCCAAACTGTCACAAAACCACAATCACACCTTTGCTACAGCAGGTTATTCACGGCAGGTCAGCCACTACCCAAACTCTGGGGAGTAAGTTACTTTGTATCACTTTTTAGTATGTTTAGTATGTTTAGTATGTTTTTAGGATGTTTAATTCAATGCACATGTTTTTATTTTATACATTACTTCATCAAGCTATGTTCCAAAGCCATGCAGTTGGTCTGCTATTGTTCCACCTGACTGTTGATGTAAATGATTTAATTATTCGCTGGTTTTGAATTTTGTTATTTCCATTGATAAGTGATATTCGCTTGTGAACTTGTGGAATAATAATAGACCTCATTGTTTCTCTGCCAAGTTTGTGAACTTAAAAACCCAGTGAAATTGCTTAAAACATCAAAATAGTGAAATTAAATGTCAGTGAACATAAATGATTTTACAATACGTGAAGGAAGAGGAAGCTTGTGAGAGTATTGAGATTGTGAGCATGGGGTACCGGTATCACAATGAATTTCCGGTTTTCAGATTGGATACATCTGTAGAATGGAAATGGTTTATGTGAAAATTTTAAAAAATCTACACATTTTTTGTTGAAACTCGTTTAAACTGAAAATAATAAATTTCAGACTCAACAGTATATTTTTACAGCGACCACAATGTTACTTTGAAATAAAAGAGGACATTATCTATAATATAAAGTAGATATGAAGTGAAGCCAATATTCCACCCATGTTGCTAATATTAATCTAGTTCTTGTACAGTATTGAGGTATTCACGTACAGTTTATCATTTGATTTTTAAAACTTTACATAGCATTTCAAAATATTGAGACTCTTCGGGTACGAGCGCTAACGGTTTCGCAAGCTTGATGGAAACATACTCCAGAGACCCTGTGCATGAATCTGACGAGAGAGGTCGCACGTATGACCTTTGAAAAGTACAATGATCTGACTGGACTTGGAGTAGCCTATGGCAATGAAAGTACAACAAATGGTAGGATATCAAATTGCCCTGGCGAGCACACTTAAAAAAAAAAAGCTCTGTCAAGGTACAGTGGTCTGATGAGGTTTGAATAAATCGATCCTGTCTTGCGAAGATGGACTGTGACTAACCTTTCCAACAAAGTTTACATGTTTTATTCCCTTGTTTACTCAGCGTAAGTTAAACACGCACATGAGTGGGGAGAAATTTAGTAGTATTTACGACAGGGACGGTGAAAAAGGCAAAATAAACTGGGCCACCCCATTATACCCATATTAAATTAATAATTAGCTGTCAAGTTGTATTACGAGAAACAATGCGAGTGAAACCCACAGCTGCCGGAGTGCTCTGCCGACTATCATGAAGAAATACACGTGTACATAATAAATTAACAAGACAATATACTAATAAATAAGTTTTAATTTAAAGAGGGAACCCTGGGATTTCTACAGAGTTGGAGTAGAGAAAGCAGGGAAAAGGTTATCATTAACATGTAAAATGGCGCCAAAGTAGTCCCAGATCGTTCATTACAGCATAGAATTTTCATTAAAATGTTTTACAAAATATCGGCTTCACTTAACGGTTTTTCAATATATTTTCAATTCTGTCATTTGTTGTGATGATGATATTGCATTGATTAAAATCTACAGATATATGCCTCAGATATACAGTCATTGATATAACACAAGTGTTGCCGAATAGTGCTTAAAATGCCTAAGGCTTTGTCTTGGCATTGTGACCGTTCTCTCAGTCAGAACTTAATTAAACTTGTACTCTGATAGCATTCAAGAAGCTTTACTTGGGTTCTTGATACTATTAAGAGAAATATTTGGTGGTCTGAATTTGAACAAATTGTGGGAATATATTTAATAAACTTTAAAATTTAAATGCCCAAATGTTGGCTCTTACTATTTGAGTGTGTTTTCATATTGCCTTTATGTTTGGATTCACAATGATCGGTTTCTGTTCTGAATTAGTATTTCCAACTACATGTATAAACTAATAAAGCATTTTGAACTGTTACTTCATTTTGCAGTAAAATCGGAGATTCACATTGAAGAATCAGATTAGAAATGATCCTACCTATTAACACACTATGAAATGACTATATATTCAAAGCAGACATTTCATAAGAGAGTAAAACACAAGGACCTGGGGAGCCGAGACAGCTGTATCTTTGCGGAGTTTTCATCACGAAACTGACAGCAGTAATTTAACTTAACAATCTGACAAACGATCACAAAAAAAAAGTTTCGGCTGATGCACATATGTTATCAATTGGTGTGTGTACACTTAAAGAACACAACACGGATTTAACTATAGTCTTATTTGAACAGATGTTCACGCGATAGTAATAGCATTGCCCTCATTCCTTTGCAATAGTCACAACATATAATATTCTGTTTTGTATCCATCAAGTCAACATGAAATGAAGAAACCATATGGTATGAGTAAAAGGAAATACAATGATTTAAAGACTTCCTTCCATAAGAATGACATTTTTCCAACGTTTTTCTGATGTAAAGGACGAAATTTTAATGAACATTGCTGGGATTTCCCGTCTTACTTCCACTCTTATGCCTTTCAGCGTCTGGTGTCTGCATAAAAAATTAGAACACCACAAGTATTTTGAAAATCTTTTATAACAAACAGCATGTCACATATAGAAAACAATGTATGAAATATCTCCCATTTTTAATTTTTGCTAGTACAATTTTATTCTCAAATTTCTACAAACTGTTTTCCCCCATACATACAGTGCGCGTACAATCCAATGGAATACTCCGAACACATCCAGGTGCAAAGTTTCCTTATCAAGATTGGTAACACCCAGGGATAAAAAACACTTCTCAAGACAACAGAGTGCAATAATTTCACTGCCCTGGTAGTCGTTGAAACAGATATTGAATATAGTTCATATTGCGAATCCCCATGTCTGGTATCAAGTAATTACACGTTATCTCAATGCATTGATTTATTGTGTTCGTACACAAGCCAAAATAACCTTGTCGACGTCAAAAAGCACTAGATGCTTGTCTGAAAGCAAGATTGCTCACTAACGCGCTGCATCTGCGTTCAAACATTACATGCGACGGTAGTAAAATAATCATAGAATTTCCAGTATTCTCGAAGTTTGAGAAACAAGACGTGTGATCACAGTGAGATTACATCAATTTTGATGCAAGGAAAAACATCTAATCCTCGGGGCGGACATCCGGGCATTTTCTACCGCCTGGCAACCCTTGCGGTGAAAACAAAGACCAAAAACTCGCAGAAAACGGTACTTTGCGATGGTTGTTGAGAGTCCCCTGAACAGTGTAACAAGATTAGCCCTACGTGTGTAACATATAAGAATTTGGTTGTTCGGGATTACTTCAAAGTTGAGTTTGTGTTGTTTTCTTGAGTTTTCACCGGCTCCACCGGCGTTCCACAGCAGCGCGCACAAAGCCCATAGAAATGCGTGGTACAGTGGTGCACGTCTTAGCAGCGTAGAACGTCCGTGGCGTAGCTCCGCCCCCGAGGATACCAAATTAAAAAAATTAACAACCTGTTGTGCATCTTTGAATACAACCCTTATTTTACTAATAGCGAGAAAGTCAGAAAACTAAATATACGTGCAATGAAAAGTCAGCAAAAGGAACCTATTTTCAGATTTCTATAACAAAGAAAAGCTTTCACTCTTGTCTAGAATCATAAAAAACCATGACAACTATAAATACATGATTAGGGTCGATGACGTGACTTTTTTCGGTTGCATTTACGAAAGTGAAATCAACAACAACAAAAGTACAGAAATATAAATTGTGAGCACATGACAGCGCTGTGGACAGATTTAAGAACATACTAGAGTGGAGAGGTGGTCGTCATTTTATTAACGAGATACGGCAATTATTATAATCAAGATGTAATTGAACACTGTGTGAAAGGTAATGGTTGCAAAAGTCACAAATCCGCCATGACGTCAATTCGGTTTTGTGAAAAACGATGCCCTCCAACCCTATTAACAAATCTAATGCACCCTTAAAAACGGTTCAGAAAACATGAAAGAGGAGCAAATGGAGGAAGCCTTTGTTTGTATGTGATTTCTTTCGTCATGATCTGTTTAATGAGGTTATCCACCTGTGTTTCATTTTGTGGGATGACTGAACTGGTGTTGGGTCACGTAAATCATTTGTATTTGGCTGTTTGAATCTAGTGTCGGTGTTTGCAACTAACAGCAAGCCTTGTAAAATAAATTCAATATGTTGTACTATTGCGCGGCATAAGAGGACATTGACATGAGAGTCCCGGCTGGGCAATAAATAGTAAACATAACTGAAAACAATCGGCCATTTTGAATCAGAACTTAACATGATGTACCGGTATACGTATTTGATTTTAATGCATTTTCGCATTAAAGTGAAAGCCATTTCGCTATCTTTAATTGCAATGCGTAACAAATATATGTGTATGTATATGTGTGTGCATGTGTGATATGATGTATGTATATTATATAATATTTAAGTTTGAATGTTTTTAATCTGATCAATGTACCAAGTTTAAACAAAATCTAACACTGCACAACTGAGATATCCAGTTCAGGAATAGCAGAAAGTTTGATGTTCTAAGCAATAAAATTTGTTTTGCGGAGCAATGCAAGACCACCATGTAGATATGCGACGCCAAATGCCAAATCGAAAAACAAAATAAGCAAAATAAGCATGTCTCTCATCAACGGACAACGTAAAAACACCAAGAGCAGAAAAACTTGTGAGTGTGCCCTCTACAGTTCAAATACTGTCACCATCTCTTCTCTATTCTAACCTTTTCCTCTGAAACACATTGCACTTATTAACGTATTAAATACAAATGAAGTATCTGCGTGATAACCTCAGTGTATATACATGACAACGCACATTCTACAAGTAACTCACATGGGATTCTTGAACACTATTAGCACTCAACAGTTGAACAATCAACTCACAGATCAGATTCTGGAGAATAGACCATTTTCCGTTCACTGCGAGAATCACGCGTTATGCGTGAAATCGAATGTAAAAACAGGACAAACAAAGGTCATAGCGTTGTAGTCGCTCCAAACATCGCGTTGGATTCGACAAACGCGAAAGTATTTCGGGGACATTTCCATGCTTAATAATGTGCTGTCCACATTTGATGATAGGCAATTTCGATTAAGTAAGGGTATTCGGAAGCAATATTCCTCTGTCGAAGATCGGCCGGTCAATGTAAGCTACGAAATAAAGAAATTCTTGTTCAAAATCAAATCGTTCTATTTTTGCGGCAGACTTTCGACGCGCATCTTTCATGCATCTCGCGAGATCTCGCAATTGTATGGAAAATCACTTATTATGGCAGGGGGAAAAAAAAGTCGGATAGATATCTGACACCAGGAGAGTGCATGGGAAGGTGGTCATGCTCAGTAAACGTGAACATAAATAAATCTTTTAGAGATTAATTTTAAGAATGTCAAACAATGAACACTGGTAGAATAGTATTGTTCAAATGCAACTTGCAGTTGAACACCAAAAAGATGCTGAACCATATGTTGGATGAAGTATACCACAATTCTAGTTGGGAGACCAAAGCAACTGACAAAAAATATTTTCTTTGATAGAAACAACTCTCCAAAGTGGTTGTGATTGACAAAAAAAACACCAAAGACACCAAAATTCACACTGATTGAAGGTAACAATTACGTCCACACATGAAATGCACAGCAGCATATTCAATTTCCCTCATTAGCAGCTAAATGTTGAAATTAAACAAGCAGCCTCTCGGCTGAGATAGCTCCGCTGTTAGCAATGCACATTTCAATTAAAGAACAGAAGATATCATTAGAAAATGAACAATATGTATAGTGTCAAAGCAATCGGACTTGCAATTTTTAACAAGAAGTCAAAAATATCACTTTTTACATGTAGTACCTATATATGTAATATCAAAGCAATTGCACTTGCGGTTTTCAACAAGAAGTCGAAAATATCACTTTTTACCAAAAATGACAAAAATATTCACCAAAATTAGAGAATTGAAGATATCAACATGAAATGAACAAACCTAAGAGAGGTCTACCCAAGGTACATATACACCAAGTATCAAAGCATTCAGGCTTGTAGTTTTCAAGAAGAAGTTGAAAAAGTAAAACATTGACACGGACGACGACGGACAATCACTCATATGATAAGCTCCGCTCAACAAAGTCGACAGCGGAGCTAAAAAAGGGTTTACAGATAGAAATTGGTTGAATAACAAGAATTACCTCTTCAATATAAAGCCATGGATGACCAGAACCCCCTAGGATGTTGGGTCTTCTTAATCCGTGTTCAAATAAGGCCTTTAGAGCAGGAGCCAGTCTGCAGAACGTGAATACAAACACAGAGTTAGCCAGGCCATGCTGGTAGGAAGTTATTTAATGCACAAAAAAGAAAGAATTTATGATTTAGAGATGACTTACACTCCTCTGACCAAGTCAGTAATAGTTTCCGAGACTGCATCATCACCTGCTGTTGTATACTGTTTACTCCGTTCATCTAATAACTCAACAAATTTAGCTGGAAACCACCCTGTTCAGGATGATAATAATATTATTAATATTGTTGTGTTCACAGAAGTGGGCTCTAAAGAGAACTATTTTGACAAAGGAGGCTAACTCACTGGTTTCAGTTTTTCTGTGAATGAGTTTGTTTGACTATAGAGGGCAGTATCACCATAAAAACAACAGAAGTTGGTTACACTTTATCATGTCAAGTTTTCTGTAATTTACTCCAATTTTTATGTATTTTTGTTTTGTTTTTTTATTGAATGTCAGCAGCAAAACTACTGAATTAGCTCAGAGTGAGTGGGATTGTGAGACTGAGGTCACCGTCAGTGCAACCTGCCTATTATTTAATATGTACATGCAAATATACTATTTTACTAATATACATATACATATACAAATATACATTTTACTAATCAGAAAATTGGTATTCCTGTAAGCTTCATTTGTATACCAACATACTCATACCAACATTTGCACCAACATACTCAGTGACATCACCAACATACTCAGTGACATCACCAACATACTCAGTGACATCACCAACTTACTCAGTGACATCACCGACATACTCAGTGACATCACCGACATACTCAGTGACATCACCGACATACTCGGTGACATCACCAACATACTCAGTGATATCACCAACTTAATCAGTGACATCCCCAACATACTCAGTGACATCACCAACTTAATTAGTGACATCACCAACATACTCAGTGACATCACCAACTTAATCAGTGACATCACCAACATACTCGGTGACATCACCAACATACTCGGTGACATCACCAACATACTCGGTGACATCACCAACATACTCGGTGACATCACCAACATACTCGGTGACATCACCAACATACTCGGTGACATCACCAACATACTCGGTGACATCACCAACATACTCGGTGACATCACCAACATACTCGGTGACATCACCAACATACTCGGTGACATCACCAACATACTCAGTGATATCACCAACTTAATCAGTCATAGATTAACATCACCAATATCTGACGTGAATTTCTTTGAGAAAAGAGCAAAGATGCTTAGTGTCAAATTAGACAAGCCACTCATAAGAATTACAGAGGTGTTCCTATGATCAATGTAATAAATATTTTTATGATTCAATGTACAATAAATATGACTTTGGGTTTATATACACTACTAATAGAGCAATTACAATAGTAACTTACCCCTAAGACCGTTTAGTTCTCCAACCCAACAATGTTCATCTTTCTGTGAAATGATCTACAAATAAAAACAAAAAAAAGTAACTGTTGAAGTGAGTTTAGTACTTTGAAATTACTTCTTGCGATGACAGATGAGAGTGTGTGTCAGAGACGTTGCCTCAGACTTGTACTGTATTAGACCGATGTTAGAAAATATGGCTTGGCTACTTGGCAGTGTATCAGACATAATGCATGTAATGTCACATCATTCTGCAAATGGCAATTAGAATTGAGAATATCAAGAGGCACATGATCTAAAACTGCCAGCTGACAGTTGAACAACTCATAGTTAACAACTACAACTCACTTTCAGCCCTAATGCATTGTACAAAAACAATTCTCTATACTCACAGTAATTATATCATTTTTTCGGAATCCCAATTCATCGTCGTCATGACGTTCAAAGTCTAACAGTGCTTTGGCTCTCCGTTTTCTGTGTCTTGTAACGTTGACGAAGACTTCATGGTCTTTTTGGTGACTTTCCAGGGAATAGTCGGCTTGTAAAGTCTGTGGAGTAAAATATGAATACAAAGTCACAAACTTCTTAGGACATAACCACCTGTTACATGTCCATTCACTTTATTAGGAGGCAGACCTTCCAAATAAGAAGTTTTTGTCTGCATCATTATAGACTTTTTAAATATGGAGTGAGTTTCTGCATCATGTCTTATTGGGGAGGTAGACTTCCCAAATAAGGATTGTGTTTCTGCATCATGCCTTATCAGGAGGTAGACATCCCAAATAAGGGGTGCGTTTCTGCATCATGCCTTTTTAGGAGGTAGACTTCCCAAATAAGGAGTGTGTGTCTGAATCGTGTTTTATTGGGAAGGTTGACTTTCCAAATATAGAGAGCATGCATTTCTTTTTTAATTGTTTTGTTGAAAAATGGTTGGCAAGATATCAATACTGTGATATCTACAACACAGTGATGCATCAAGGGATATCACAAAATTTTGTAGCAAATAAAACTTGATTTCCTAGAGACATGTGAACTGCTTTAAATACCCCAAAAATCATATTGTTAATTAATGTTACACTGGTAAAGAAAGCTCCATCATAGACTAGCAGGGTAGTGGACACCGATGCACTAAATTGTGTTATTTTATATTCATATTGAAATTGACAATTAACTTACAATTTTAGCATTTTTAGGGTCTATCGACTGAAAATGTCTTCCTATCTGTAAAATAGATTCTCTTAAATCAGACACTAATTCAGTCTGACGAATATTCTTGGCTTTTAAATCTTCTGATCTGTCATCTTGACCTATAGGATATAACAAAAATATTTGATTAACAAAAAGTATCTGTATTCCTGTTTTCACATGAACAATGGTGAAAACATTTTGGGAATGAAACAATTGACCAATAGCATAGCAGTAGTTCATTTCAAAACTTTGACAAGCTTCATTCTGGTGTTGCCAGGCACCGGTAAATATTCAGATAATGCGCTATCAATACTTTAATATGTGCGCCTTAGGCGAATTACAGTGAAAGAAGTAGTTGTCTTTTCAAACCATTTGGCAAGTCCAAAACGCTGTGTAAAATATAATTAGAAGAGAAAACAGCGTTTAAAACAAGGAAACATTGTCACAATTTGGAATGTTTTTCTAAATGAGAGAATGGACAGGCAAATTGACTACCAGTAATAAACTATGAATTAAATACAGCTATGATTTTTTTAGTAAATTTTGAAAAAAATATTCATCTCAATTTCCTGACACGTAGAAAGATATGATGGGTCAATTATTGCAACATAGTGCTGTTTTTCACAAAATAAAAGATGGTAAGAGTTGAACAAACCACAAAGTCGGATCATATGCATTTCAGATCAGAGACTAGTTGTTGTGAGCCAAAACACGCAGCCTGAACTCGTGCATGTCAGATCACAAAGACCAGATGGTGCGAGTCAAAACACACATGCATCTTTTGATCGAAATTTATGAACAAAGGTTTTGTGAAAAACAAAAGTTAATTTTGGTGCTCAAAGAATTAATATTTGTTTTGGTTCTGTTTATAATAATTCAGTATCTTCGCAAAACATAATTTTATACTCAAATATATGCCAATATTTTAATATTAGGTGTATATATATATATCTATTTATCTACATTTTCTAGTTTAGTAAGTGGCAGAAAGGACAATGGCACACATTTTATTTTACAGAAGAATGGGGTTGGGGACTGCAGAAGAAAACAAAGCACAAAGATACTATGAAGGCATTACCGGTAATAGACAATTTTCGGTTCACAGCGAGATCCAGCATTTTGCGTGAAATTGAACGTAAAAATAAGACACACAAAAGTAGCGTAGTAGCGTCAAAACATGGGATTCAACAAACATAAACGTATTTTGTGTATTTTGAAAATATTTCCACACCTAATAATGTATTATACACATTGGATGAAGGTCAATTTTGATGAACTATTAAATATTTTGATGAACTATTAAAAGGCATCTCAATATTTTGATGAGCTAAAGGTATCTCAATGCCATATTTTTCTCTGAAAGATCAGTTTTTTTGACGTTGAACAAAAGAACGTCACAAAAGTTCAAAATCAAATCATTCGTTTTTTGCGTCATACGTTCGACCCACGCTTTTGACACATTACACAAGATCTTACAATGAGCGGTGAATCATCTATTAAACGCCAAGTATTAATATATCTATTTCTGTTGATGTGAACAAGTCAAATTACAATAGAACTCATTGGACAATCCATAAATTTAAAAACCTGTTATTATCGGTATAGGCATATATTTAAAAAATAGTGAAATTAAATACCAGTGAAAACAAATTCTTTTTCAGTATATGTCTAGTTTGGTGTATGCAGATGACGTGTATGGGTATTATAAACACCACCTATGTGTTGTATACAAATTTACTGTGTTTTCTCTAGAAGCATGGGCCTGTTACGAGTATGTAAACGATTCATCAAAGTTGATAAATATAGCAAAAAATATGTTTCATATTCTGGTACACCTTTAATAAATTTGGCCAAATAAAACATATCTGCCATTTCTGGTAGTGGTCTAAAAAAATAAATCTAGACAGGGATTTTTATATTATTTATTTTATTTTTTTACAATAAGTGATACGCTTCGCAATTGGTTTTTGTGCTACAGATGTGAAAAATTACATCTAAGTTTTCAGAATAAATTCCCTTTATAATACAATTTAGCATGACATAGAATGAAGTACATGAAATCAAATAATACAACATTGGTGGAATGAACATGCCTGCTAATTTACATATAAAACACGGAATTCCTTTTAATTGGCCTTGTAACAACCAAAGCAAATGTTTGGGCTTGATGCGCCTCTATTGAGGTTGGGGGAGGGGGGCTGTTATGTAAATTTTAGACAACTTGATAGGACCAAGAAACTGAGACGCGTTAATTGTGTTAAATATGAATGTACGTTTACCTGCTTTAAAGAATGAGACACTGGATTGTTTTAGATTATTTCAATAACCAGATGCATTACATCACACCATAAGGTTCAAATAAACTTGAAACTGTTTTCAGCAAAATTTCAGAACAAGATATCACCTTATAAAAGCATATTGTATACCATATTTGCTCTATTATTGGTAGTAACGAATACGCTTAAGTAAATGATAGAGTTATTACAATGGTCGAACTAAATCATATTTGAAAAAATGCAATATTTAGGTGTATGTAAACTTCTATTGCTGATGCGCTTTGAACCAAGCGTATTTGCTACGCCAAGTTTATCGACATGAATACGAGAGTTTATTTTATGTTATCTGTATTTAGAACTAATAGACGAAGAAATTTGAGAACAAATGTTCAGAAAATAACACTGAACATTTACTTCCAAACATTGAAGAGGAGAAAACCATAAAAAAGTTACAAGAATCATCAAGTACGCGGTAATTGATCGGGCCGAGATACTCAGTGAAGGTCAGTATAAATGCAACATCAACCGCATCACGAACATTACAGTGGTACAAAAACTTACCGAATATCTGACCAATTAACGATTTTCGCCTCGCAACCTGCCTCTTGTGTAAGTGCTGTTCGGAAAAAGAAAAATGCAGCTCAGCGTTAGTATCCTCAGTAATCCCCATGATGTGTTTATAAACCATATGGAATTTTACAGACATTATAGGCCAGCTGTGGTGCTTCAACCATTCACACTAAAGACATGTTAATGAAGTGTTATATTTAACGATATGCACCACGTAAACAATAAGGATATTAATAATTAAAATATCAATGGATGATAGCGATATAACAGCTGTCTATTATGTAAACAAAAGCTGATTGTGGAATCTGACAATTTATGTTTTTTTTTTATATCAGGATGCTTTAATAAAAGTAGGAAATTAAGGTATTTGCTCTATTAGAAGTTCATCTCCAATGGAAGTATATGAAAATCAGAAATTGCATACCGGTATATTGCATGTTGGATCATTTAATTATTAGTGATCTTGACCATAGAAACACCTATATCATTTTTATAATGGCATGCACTACTACCGGTATTAGAGCAAAGATACCGGATTCTGCCGTAAATTCGCACAGGGCCGTTAAACGGCAGTTCGGGTTTTTAAAAAAGTAAAATGGGACCAAGGAATCGCCAAGGACGATTTTTAGGCAGTTTTTAAAGTTTTTTTTTTTTTTTATATTTTGGCATAATTTTTCGGACATTTCAATCTTTCCTGATGCCTAAAATAGTCTATTAAGTTTTTATTCAAGAGTATGTTTATTGTGACTAGCGTGAATAGCTTCGTTTCGACAATGACCTGTTATCACTGTAAACAATGTTAAATTATTCTTCTAATGATCATTTTATCTTTTGAAAACAACTATTTTTTTATGCCATTTTCCCATCAAAATTCAGGCCAAAAGATTGTACTACAACATCGACAAATCTCTTCCGCATTGCGTTCAATAACATTAGCATGTTTAAATGAGCTATGGTAATTTGAACACGTTGGCATCATCCAGTATTTTAATTCGTTAATTAGCGAATTCATCTATTAGGTCAACTAGAGAAAGGACATGGCGGATACCCTACAGCATCAAGCATTTATATGCGACCGGAATCATTTGCTTACAATGAAACTATGTTGAATTTTATTTGTATTTCATAACAATTCAACGAATTTATTTTTTGTGCGTTAATTGTGAAATGCAGCATGACAAAATTGCGCAACTGTGAACGTTTGCTACTACGCAATGCAATTGTGTTCGTTTTTATTTGAAACTTTGTGTTTAGAATATACTGTATTTGAAAAATGACACTGGGTGACATTGTAATGAAACCAATGACTTTTCAAGTTTGGTAATGACAGAACTAGTGGGTAGCAAAATTCAATCTTCAATTTTTGTAGAGTCATAGAGACTCTTGAAAACACATAGTCACTTGGTTTGAGTGAATGCTAATCAACAAATAAATTCAAATCGGTAACGAGCGTCACTCCGGATTATTGTAGTTCTGAAGTTTATAAATTCTAAGCTTACTTGTTTTGGTAAATTCCCCGATGATTCTGGATTAACAATCTGGCCTTGTTCCGCCATCAAGTACGCTAAATGTTTACGTCTGTGTGTGTCTATTATCACATCCGTTAGCGATGACGAGACCTTCATTGCCGACTGAAAAAGTAGAGAAACATTGGTTACGAGTATATTGACAAGTATGATTACACTACAGATACTGGTACATCTATAAACAAAGTTGGGTTCTTGGCTTTCTGATATTATAGGAAATCTACTGTTCAAGCATTAGAACGGCATACTTTCAAAATCCGTGGACAAGGATGTTAACTTGCATATTTGGATGGAAAACGAACTGACACATTGTAAATATGTTTATTTAATTCTAACAAAAACGTTTGTCCTTTGGCTGTCTTAAAGTACTGCATGTACATGTGGGTCGATATCCTATCATTGACACACACAAGTCTACACATTGTATTAATTAGAAGAAGTGAACCTGAAAACAAAGTACACAAACCAAAAATTGCATTCATTGCCAATAACTAGATTGAGAAGAGAGAAGAGAAATTCTGCGCCAATATTTTAAATTATGCAAAGCAAGATTTGCATAAATTGTGGTCATACGCAACAGCGCAGCAAAACCCTGCGTGCTATATCTGCACCTGTCCCAAAAATAACCAGATTAGCCGATAATATAAGAGAAATTGGATCTACAAATATGAGAATACAGTAAAACCAGACCGAGGGTTAACTGGAAACCTGTCTAAACCCCAAACATAAATTGCTTGTTCTTTTTTCCCTATACATAGACTGACTTTTCTTGTTCATTTCGGTGTTTGGTTTAGACAAGTTTCATCGTTGTTGACTACTGCAGCACACCTAGGTGGAATTCTGAGTACAAAGAACCAACCAAAAAGCGAAAATAATAATAAGCCTTGTAAGGGATGGGGATTTGGAGTTGAAGTAGGAATAGGAGTTATGTTGGGAAAGGGAGGGGGGTTAACCGTGGTTGCCAGCAAAGCAAAGTGAAGTTAGCAAAGGTGTTCCTTATTCTTGCCACAGATGAAAACAAGTGACAACAACTCACCGGCATAATACAACATTGGGGTTCATGAACATACTGTAAAGCACGCCGATAATACACATGCTGAAATTTAATTTTTTTAATTAATTTATATTTATCACGGATTGGTTGGGACGGAGATTAGAATTTCTGAATCGGTACACTGGAGTACAGGGTTTGGAATACACGAAGAGCCCATCCATACAGTCAAGATATTTTGTTCATGACATTATTGAACGGTTTGATCCTGAAATACCAAAGTAGGAATATTATACATGTACACTAATAATATTATTATGGTGCTTTGTGTACCAAGATAAGACAGTGGGTATATCCAAGGTAAAAAAAGAAAATTGCAAGTCAAAAATAAAAATAATGAAAATAAAAATGTAATTTAATTTTCAATTATTAGTAACAGGATAGAAACACTGTTTACAGTGTATTGGAGATAATTGCTACGTTCACACGACAGCATTTTATTGGAGCCCTACGGCTCGAGCCAGCAAAAATGGCTGTGTCTGTCCTGTTTATAGTGGTTTAGAAAACAACGACAGATATTAGAATTGAAATCTATTTCACGGCGCATTAATAAGCTAACTATATCCAATGTATTTAGGAATGCTTTACATCAATACAGGAGCTACACCACACAACACACAAATTCTCAGGCTAATTACAAAGTTGGTAAATCAACCAAAAAGGACATACAAATGGGGACGCACAATGTTAGCCTGGGAAAGAACTGTATTTTATATACCGGTAGATATTATACTACTGTGGAATATTTTATTTTCGCTGGATTTAATTTTCGCTGAAAAGGCTTTTTGGGCGTTTTGTATGGAATTTATTTTCACTGATTTTTGATGAGTTTAATGTGAAATATAGGAAAAAAAAGTATATTCGCTGGATTTTATTTTCACGGAATCATCCCTTCCGCGAAAATAGCGAAAATTAATTCCAAGCGAAAATAAAGTATTCTACAGTATATTTGCAGTATTGTAAAAAATACATCTCCAATAAAGAGTGTATAAAGAAGAAAAAATTGCATTTACTGTATACTGTATCATTAAAATATGATTTATTTTGACAAGACACATCTCTGTCATTTGCATACCAGAGCAAATATAACTGACGATTAAAAGTTATAGTTTCTATTTCAAACAAATTAACTTTCTCACCACCAGTTTCCTCTTTTCATCACAAATTCACAAAATAGTCCCATTTATAGTCTGTAATTTCCTTCAGAAGATTCATACAAAAATAACCACATTTTTTTTGAGTAAAAACTGAAAATTGACTTAAAATTTTCCTGTTGGCTCCAAAATTCATTTCCAGAAATATTGAAGTATATAAGAAACATTTTCAGACAAATTTGGGCAAGAAAGTCTGCTGCTATAAAGGCTAAGGTGAAGTAGTAATAATTGGAAAATTAAAATTTGTTAGCAATTTTGATATTTTGACGACAAGAGAAAGCACAAAAAACACTGTAACCTTTGTTTCTAAAGCACTTCAGTCAAAGCGTTTGCCACAACTAAATCGCGAAAGTTCGTCTCTTGCGAAATGAAAGCGGTTGATAGTATATACAGTAGCCAAGAGTGATGTCATCATAGACTTAGAATACCAGCATACCGTGCAGATTATCGCTCGACGTGTACGTGTCAACAGACTGTAATTTTCATATAATTGGCAATCAGCAAAAAATAATGAATGATAACATTTTTCTCAATGTCTAATTAAAAATTTCAATTAAAACAATAATTACATTATAGTCCGAAACTAAATATCTTGCAATTGCACATAAAGGCTTATATGCTAATTAATATGCTCAATTACTAAACAAAATTAAAAATGATGGAGATTTTTTTAATTAGGATATATATATATACCAAAAATTGTTATGTTTTTTGATGATAAGGGAATTGAAACGGCTGGTTAGTGATACTCATTCTGAAACATGTTTAATGTCTGTAATATCTGTTAAAATAAAATGCAGTGCTGTTTAGTCATGCGGAGTGAATCAGACCGGCCGGTCTTCCTCCTGTCATGATTTCTTTTGATAATTAAAACATATCTGTATGACGGTAACATGCTTATGACAGTGCAATGACAGTGAGAGGAAATGTAAAGAGAATTCAGTGAATGAGAGAACAGGAAAAAAATACTAATTTGAAGAGAAT